GATGATGAAGAAAGAAGAACACAGGATTTGAACGAAATCCAAGTGAAGGGAAGTCCATAGGTTAACAATCTCGTCGGGACCTAACCGAAGAACTTCGACGACAACACCGACCATGATGGAAACAAGAGTGAGAGTAAGAATGTGATTAACTAGGTATTGGTAGCCAAGCTTGACATACTTGAGCTTAACGGAGATGGATAAATCAGGCATTGTAGGTGGTGAGAGTGGAAGATAAAAGGGTGTTGTTTGCGTGAAGAGGAGTGGGGAAGAAGGAAGAGGCGGAGGGTGATTTATAGACGGAGGAGGACAGTGGGGGCCGATGGAGGAGTAAATGAAGGGACTCACGCCACTCAACGCTCACTTAATTCTCCATTAATTTTGCCCAACTTCCCCTTTGTACCCGATTTGTAACTATTCTTCAATAATTTCACTTTCCGTGTGTCAATGATAGGGATCACGATGATCATTATCCGGCCCTTCATTTGATCAAGTAGAACCGAAAATCGGTAGTTCTCATGAAATTATTATATATATATATATATATATATATATTTAGTTAGGAAGGTCATCGAATTAATTGAGTAATTTCATCCGTTGAAATGAGTATTATTCTCTCTCAAGATTTTAAATTAGAATAGTTCGATAAACAACATGATGTTAAAAACTCGAACATCAACAACAACAATAATGAATATTTTAATTTTTCAAGTGATTTTTATTTATTTATTTATTCAATATATTTATTATCCCTTTGGTTACAACCTCTTGAAAATGAGATGATTAAGCTTTTCCGTTATGAATAGCATATTGCATGGTTGTCACTTAATTATGCTTTCACTCTTTCTCATTCAAGTGCCGTTCATTTCGTGACAACTTTGATGGAGTCATAGATAAGCAATACCGTTTATGCAAGAAATGGCTTGGAGAGTAAGCAAGAAACTTAGAAGAATCAACTATGGTGGGGGAAATGAAATTAAATTCACAAAAGAGATCAAGTTGATCCTTGCTGTTGACATGCGCCACACAAAGAATACTACATTAAACCCTAATTGTGAATAAAATGACAGTCTATTTCAATATGTTCTATTTAACTGAACATAGTTAGTGAGGCTTCGATAAAAAAACAGTTAGGGATGGACCGAGTGGTGGAATAGTCGCCTCTCTAAAAAATTTAAAATTACAATAGATTTTATATTTAGTAGATAGTCGTCTTTTGTAGATGAAAAAATGGTCGTGAAAATATGCATTATTAACATTGAATTGCTCGAACAATGGTGTATTTTTTTCGAGTTCGGGTTTTTACGGGTGAATGTGGTCCGTTAAGTACATTCTGTTGTAAGCTAAGGGTATTGAATATCATTGAACGTTCCAAGGATTAATCTTTTAGTTAAAGTTAGTACATTTCACGTTTCTGTAGAAGAATTTGCTTATTACTACTTTGATTTTGGCTTCATTCAAAGCTAGATTAATGGACGGATGAAATTAAGCACCGAAATTTAGACTTAGATACTCCAACTTTCCAATTCAAAGTTTATATTTGGATTCGATATCAAGTGAAGATGCAGGGGCGAAGTCGGAAGTCGGGTGCATGCAGATTGGTTGAATGATCTAATGTCACATTTAGTCCTTATTAAGTTTTGATAATTCAGTTTAATCTAAATAGGAAATTACAGATTTAACCCTAGTAAAATTTAATAATACAATTTAAGTCTCTCTAACAAGTTTTTCCTTTAAATTTTATCCCGGTCTGCCACAAAAATCCTGACTTCTTCCTTGAAATTTGGAGGTCATCGCACATGGCTCAGAATCAATTGCCCTATGACAGCCCAATATCATTTTAAAGAGTTAATGGACTCCAAGTTAGGGTTTCAGATACCCTATAAGAACCCAAGATCAAGAGATTCAAGCCTCAAAAGTCCAGACTTATAAAAACGAAATTCTAGCCTTGCTGATTCAGCTGATAGACAATATGATGCATTCGAATTGCCCTCCGCTTTCCGGATAGACCGAGACGTAAAAATCTAAATATACCTTTTATATTTTTATTAATAATTTGTGTTTTTCTCTCTTAAAAAATTTTATAAATTAACTCAGCGTCTAAAATTTTAAAAATTTTATCGATGGAAGTTGATTCAAGTGGTAAACACTTTGATAAGCAGCACTCGAGTTCAAGTCATGTGTATACAGAAAATCTTCAAGGAGACTTACCAACCAATACCAGGTATGAAACCTGGGTCAGTCCAGATTAATCAAGACGAAGCCTTGAGAATCGAGAGAGCAAAAATTTATTTTTAAAAAAATTCACCTTTAACATAAAATCATGCTTCCATCTTGAATTACTTGTAAGAGATGATTTTTTGTTTCCTTGATCAATTACATATATTAGAAGAGATGATTTTTTAATTAAATTCTTGTTTCTTTACAAAGAAAATATTTTATCCGATCTAATAACCTTTCGTTAAGAAAGAATAAATCTACAACTTACCAATAACTTTCAAATAGAGTACGATTTAAGTTATTTCAGTGATTAAAATTGATGATTGTTATTTTAAAAAATTTAGAGTCCGAGCACTAACGATTGTAATATATTTAAGCGCTCATTATCAAATGTTGGAAAGTTTCTAAAACAAATATTACCACTTGTAATCATATTATATTAATAAAAAAACATTCATATTAAAAAAATTATTAAATAAACAAGGATTCAATAATTCAAAGTGATTTTCTTACATGCTTTTGAAGAGCCAAACCTAACTCACGAACTTGAAAGATATTTATTGTTTCCCCTACTTTTTTTTCTTTAATGCATTGCCCCAAAACCGAGTTGTCCTAATCTTCTGCGTACTGCCCTTAAGCATAAAGAAGAAGACCAACTCCCATACAATCAAGTTGGAGACAAGAAAAATCACATTAAAACAAATAAATAACTAAATGAAAAAGTTGTGGTCCTATGTTATCTTTCTTTTTGGAAAAATCCAGATAGTATCCCTTTTCCTTCTGGTTTAAACAAAGTTCTCACGAGCGATCGAATTTAGTGATAAAAAAATTATTATTTTTTTTTAAAATCTCAAATTTGAACACTAAAATATTATGAGTGTAAGCGTTAAATATTAAATTGGTGAGAATTATCGTTAAAATGTCTTGGCCAACGGGGTGTCGATACAAGTGGTTAAGATTTAAGAATTTGAACTTATAATGCTAAGTTTAAATCCTACTACAATCACTCTTAGTGGTTAATCTCTAAATTCCTATATAAATCCTAATTGAATCTTAGGTATGCCATGACCTTGGACGGTAGAACCATCCCTGACTTAAACTTTTTATTCAAAAATAAAATAGATACTATCTTATACTTATCATAGATTAATAAAAAGAATTATCACTGCAATGTACCAATTTTCCAGGGGAAAACCATGATTTAAAGAAATCGACAATAACCACGTTCCGATTGACGGAGACCATCTGGGAGAATTTAAATTAATCAAATTTACGAGTTTTAATTTATATAAAATTTAAATTTTATTTAAAAAGTTGTAGTCGAAATGAGATATTTGAATTTGTTTTTAAATTTACTTATAATTTTTTATAATATTTTTATATATACTAATTACAATTTAAACGACACACTCCAATCACAACTATATATATATATGTAGATAGATAGATGAATTGAGGGGTGGAGTAATCGTTCCCCTAGAATTTTGAAATTACCATATATTTTAAATATTTTCTTTCTGTTTTATATTGATACAATTTTTTTTTATAATTTTATAAGCTTATCTCCTTCTAAAATTTTAAAAGTTCATCCATTAATATCATACCATGCCTTCTTCCTTGTATATATATTTCTTCATATTCTTTTTCTCATTTACAAATATTTGTAATGCTATTTAACAAATGAATAAAATGTACAATTATGAAATATATTTATATTGTTATTTATAAATAAGGAATTTTTTTAGATAAATTATTAATGGGAGTACGAAGGAGTCAAAGGAATTGATGAGAAAAATGAATTTGTAAAAAAAATTAACCAAATTATCAAATCGAATAAAATATAAATTTTAAGTATTAAATTGAAAAATAATATTTTTTGTTAATAATAAGAATCGAAGCTATATAAGATATTCTATAGTTTTAGTGGAATATATTTTTCAAATTCGATCAGAAATAGACTTAAAATAAATGAATAATTGAAGAAATTAAAAAAAATGAATCAAAACTGATAATTTAAATATTAAACATATTATTTATCTCAAAATAAAATCTAATATTACACGTTTCACATAAGATATTTAAGGCAAAGAAACTGAAGTATGTGAAAATCGATGATAGCTATCAACAATTTCACTATATTTTTTGTATTTTAGTACCAAGTTATAAAAATGAAAATAAATTACTAAAATAGGAATTTTCATAAATACATTCATGAAATTCAGCAATTTTATTTTATCATAATTTTTTATATAAAATTTTATTTTAATTTTTACATTATTTTAGGATAGTTGAATTGGGCAAAATCAAATGTTGAAATTAACTCCTTATTGTTTTTTCAGTGAATAACTTCTTATTTTTTACTGTTAATTTCAGCTTTTAATTTTTCTCATATAATCTTAAAAAATATAAAACTAAAAGAATATTACCCGATATAATTAAATTATACCTCATAATAAAAACACACACATATGTATATATATATATATAAATGAATTAAAGTCGTGGATAAATCTTCAAAATATATTTAAGAAAATTAAAATAAAGTCATCGACTAATGTCAATTGAACTAAATTTTTAATCATTAATTGAATAACGAAATTTTATATATTTATTAATATTAATTATATTATAAATATAAAATGCCAAAAACGAAAATTATAGGGCGTAATTCCACTTCAACCCTTCCACTATCTCCAAGGAGGAAAAAAACACGCCAGCCAAACGAAGCTTGATATAAACCCCATAGGGCCTTTCACCCCAAGCTTCAGAAGGGGAATCTCTCTTTAAAGTTTTCGACTTTTGATTCCGTGTATATTAAAATTTTCATTTTAAAAGGGGAAATTTTCAAGCTGATTACACCATGAAACAAACTTCAATCTTTCTCTCATTTTGAAAGAACATCTTTTGCGTTTTCTGTTTTTCATTTTTTGGGTTTCACAGTTTCAAGTTTGTCCTTTCCCTTTCCTGGTGATTTTATGGATGTATTAAGCTTTTGTAGCAATCGGAATTTCACAGTACAGTGTTTGATTCCCATAAAGAAAATTTTGCTGAACTTATGAATTGATGTTCATAGATGAATATGGAGGGTGGCAAAATCTGTGGTGGTTTAAACATGAATGCTTTGGTTCAAAGTGAACAACTTTCTTGTTCTTCCCAGGTTATGGAGTCTTTATGGATACCCTCTTCTTCCTCTGCTCTGCAAGGTAACTTGCTTGTTCCTCTCAGGTTTAAATCTCAATCCTGGGTTTGATTACTTATCCCCAAAAAAGAAGACAACAAATTTACCTGTGGGCTGTGGCCGTGCATTCATCTGATTTCTGTGTGCCCACCGTCTGATTTGATCAGGTCAACAGCCGGTGATTAGTTATGAGGATGCTGATGGAATGGAAACTGGATTCTTCGAACCGGTTGACAAAGAAGACAATGGAGACGATGATTTTGATGGATCGTATCAGCCGGCGGAGAAGAAGAGGCGGCTGACCGCCACACAAGTTGGGTTCCTCGAGAGAAGCTTCGAGATCGAAAACAAACTTGAGCCAGACAGGAAGTTGCAGCTCGCAACTGAACTCGGTTTACAGCCCCGACAAGTTGCAATCTGGTTTCAAAACCGGGGTGCTCGGTTGAAGAACAAACAGCTGGAGAAAGACTACGATTCCATGAAAGCTAGCTACGAGAAGCTCAAGGCTGACTATGATAATCTCCTCAAGGAAAAAGATGGTTTGAGAAATGAGGTACATTTTTGAAGTACTAATCTGCTCTAATGGTTACTCAAAAACTGATTTGTTCCATTTTTATTCAATCCATAATAGGTACTTGAACTGAAAGAGAAGCTGTTGATTAGAGAGAAAGGGTGTGAAAATTTGGAATCTCTTGATGCCATGAATTCATCCAAAACACCTCTTGGACATGTGTCCCATGTGTCGTTGTTGGCATGTAAACAGGAAGAAGCGTGTTCGGCTAAAAGCGATGTTTTCGATTCCGATCATCATTCTTCATTGATCGAGCCGGAGAATTCGTCAAACGTTTTGGAACCGGATCCATCCGATATTTCGCAAGATGATGAAGATAATCTAAGCAAGAGCTTCCTGCACATGCACCCACCATTGTTCTTCCCAAAATTCGAACTTGACTGTTATTATGATGCACATGGCGATTCATGTAATTTTGAATTACCGGTGGAAGATCAGTCATTTTGGTCTTCACCTTTGATGCTTTTTGCACATGAAGATAATCTATGATGCTTTTTGCAATTGCGAGCAATATTACATATGTTCATCTTTGATGCTTTCTCAAGAACCAAAGTCGTGTGAAATTTTGAACTTTGAAGAACACAGTCAGATAAAAAAAAAAGAAAAAATATGGTGAAAAAATGACAGTAACCTTTGTGGAAAAGGACCCAGGAAATCTGCATAAACAGCATTATGAAATGATGACAGCTTGGAGTTTGAAAAAGATGAATAATTGCTCCCCCGGGGGGGGGGGGCGAGAAGTCAATATTCTGCCATGGATCATCTTCTTCCCTGGCTTTCATCAATGGGTGATGACTTAAACATCACTGCTGTTGACAGATTCAGTATTTTTTTTATGAAAAAGACAATGTAATATTTGTATTCAACAAGTTACATCGTTTAAAAGAATATTACTTGGTGATGCAAGTTGGATGAGATGCGCAAATTTATTTTTAAAAACCCCATATAAAAAATTATCTAAAGAAACAAGGTCATCCAGAGATTATTTGAAAGAATAACCCTCAAATCATCCACATCAGACAACTTCACGGCCTGCAAAAAATCATCACACCCTCCAATACGCGAGATACATATGACGTGGATGCATTTTTTAGATAAGTAATAAAACAATTGGATAACATGACCTCGCGTTGCGAAGTGCGAGGTAACATTTATGATCCAAAATATAACGAGAGTTATATGGGACTTCGCGGCCTGCAAAGCACGAACTTCTTTCAGATTCTGTATAACAGTCTAATTTGAAACGTATAAATAAATTTATATTATAATAAATATATATAACAATAATTAATAATATTAAACATTAAATATAATAAATAATTAAAATATAATAATATAGTAATTAATATAGAAATTTTATAAAAAATAATTACAATATATTTTGTAAATTTTGAAATAATGAAAAATTATATTATAATAAATAAATATAATAATATTAATTAATAATATTAATTATTAAATATAATAAATAATTAAAATGTAATAATAACATATAAAATAGTAATTAAAATAGATATTTTATAAAAAAATAATTATAATATATTTTGTAAATTTTGAAATAATGAAATAATGAAACTTATATTATAATAAATAAATATAATAATAATAACTAAAAATATTAAATATTAAATATAATAAATAATTAAAAATAATAATATATAAATATAGTAATTAAAATATACATTTTATAAAAAAATTATAATATATTTTCAAATTTTTTAAATTTGAAATAAAGCAACCTTGCTTCTTACAAAACGTGAGGTATTCAAAATTTCGCGTGTTTTCAGTACCTCACGTCTTTCAAGATGTGAGTTGTATTTAAAATTGCACTTCCCTAAGTGCGAAAAATGCTATAAATTGGGCCTTCAACTCATTTTCATCAACAGACACATCCCTTTCGTATATTAAAAGATTCAAAGATTTAATATTATGTCGGCTCTATTAAGTCATGATCAAAGTCACATATTCGATTATTGAAAGAGAAATGATGAGGTAAATTAATTAATATTATTTTGGTTTTTACTATTTATTTATTGATATAGTTAATTTATTTTGGTATTTAAATAATTTTTTAATATTTATATTTCGTAGGGATATGAACGTGTATTAGAGTGTAATATAAATCGTGTGACACAACCCGATGTGGATATTATTGAGTATTTACATGTAACGAGTTTCAGATATATTAGTAGTATAACTGGTGGCGGTGTGAAGTTGCATCCTCCACTTATCAACGCGTTGGTGGAAAGATGGAGACCGAAGATGCACATGTTTTATTTACCGTCTGGAGAGGAAACTATTACCTTGCAAGATGTTGCATTTCATCTGAGGTTGCCTATTGATCGATTAGCTATTACTGGTGTTGTCGACGCCCCTAGAAACGTATGTGAGATTTTGCTTGAAATTGATTTGTCTGATAATGCATGCGATGGTGGAAAAATAAAAAGTTAATTTTTAGATGAAAATTTTACGAACCTACCCCAGAATGCGGAGCATGAAGTTAAGAAGATAAATATAAATATTTTATCTTTGAATATTTATTAATATTTTAATTTATTTATTTATTTATTTGAAAATTAAGTAGTTATATTATTTTATTTATTTTTTGAAGCGATTTGCTCGTGCACATATACTACAAGTTATTGGGGGATTTTAATGCCAGACAAATCCCGAAATAAGGTGCATCTGATTTGGTTGAATCACTTGCAAAACTTGAGTGATTCAAGAAATATAAGTTTGGGGTCGGTAGTTTTGGCATTTTTGTTTTGACAACTTTGTAAAGTCGTAAATCCGATGAAAATTTCATTAGAGGGTGTTTATTGTTACTGCAACCCTGGGCCTAGATCTGAATGCCATTTTTATGCATGATCCTTAAAACACGTTTCTCATATGAATTTTCGTTACTTAAGAGGTAAAAAAATAATTTTTATCTATTTTTTTATAATATTACTAACAAATAATACAATATATTAATGTGTTAATGATAGGTGAACCGATGAAACATTTCACACCCACTTATCAACACATCAACGAGACTCCAGAGTATTGATCGATATGTTTGGATATCAGGCAATAAAATATTTTTATTCGAATTTTATTTTATAATTTTAGAATAATTTAATTTATTTGAGGTTTTTAGCTAACAAAGTTATGTAATTTTAATTATATAGTTCATGTGGACGCCTTATTGCGATGTTACTATTGCCAACTGTATACCGCATGAGATTTTGGTGACTAATGTGCTTGTGTACATCATGTCAGTCCCATTGATTTTGTATGAGATAGTCGAGTTAAATCCTACCGAGCGCGTTCTTCAACAATTTAATCATGTTCAATCGATTATGCCTTATTCACCTTGCTCAGATGAGTTGTATCGATTGACGCGACAAAGGAAGATGAAAATTAATTGGGCACACCATAATACGGTGTATCTCAACGAGAGGGTCCAAAGATTATAGAGGAGTCTCATGAATCAACCCATCTTCGACCACCGTGTGACATATGAGTATATGTGGTGGTACGAGTTATATAAGATGTCATATATATTGACCGATGAAGAGTGAGCACGATAATTATATGTTCCTCCATAGAGTCGTCCACGAACATGGATGCAACGTGGGGTGTGTCAAGGCAGAGAAGAAGAAGACAACATGATGCATCATCTTTATCAGCAACAACACATGGACCTCCTCAGACACCGCTGACACACCCTAACCCATTGTTCACCCCACTCAACTCAATCAGTATTTCAGCAAACAGGGAAGTTCTCGGAAGGTTTCCTCACCGACGTCTATGACCAGTTGAATTCACCACAGACAGAATTTGCGGCTAACTTTAGATCCGATATTGTTGAGCAAAAATAGTCGTAGAGCACATCCTACATAAGTCCTAGTTTTAGTGCTAGTAGTGGATCAATTCCTTATACAACTACCGATCCTGATGATGATGATGATATTGCTGAAGAGGAAGAAGAATAGCAATTACGTCCGCGTCAGACTCGTCTTCCACCACAATGCGGAACTGGTGGACATAGGCATTATTAGTTGTTCTTTATTTCGTTTTTCAAAACTAAAATATTTGTACTAAACTATTTTATTTTGAGTTAGTGAAAATAAATCTTGTTATAAAAACTATTTTATTATTTTGTATTAAACTATTTTATTTTGAGTTAATAGACTATCGACGTTTTTCGACCAATTTTTAGTTATGCGAACTATTTTTCATTAGTTAATTCATCTTGAGAGTTATTTTTCTAATAAATTAATAAAAATATGTTTCAATGAAATTCATACTCTACAACACACGATATCTATTGTACGTTAGCATAATCGCGTATCTTGCAAAACACAAGATAATATGATCTCATACCCTGCAACACACGAACTATTTGTAATTCGCGTCTTGCAACCCGCGAGGTTCTTCAACAATAAACAATCCATAGTTTAGTATTATCGGGCAATAACTCAGCTAAAATGTCGATGAGAGAAAACCTTACTGCTTTGGTATATTACGGTGGCGAAATGATCGGTGATGCATCTCTCAGTGTTGTGTTTCAATCCTCACACACTGCTATAATAATGATACGAACGAAGTTAACATATAACAAGTTGATGAAAGAAATGAAGAAAAATGTCTCACATGCTCGCGGTATAAATTGTTACCGTTGAAGTATCGATTGTCGACGTCGTTAGAACTATTAACGTACACAATATACACCGTTGAGGAAAATGGTGATGTGCAAATGATGGTGCATTGTTTTTGGATGCTGATGATGGTGCCAGTGCCAAGTTGGAGACGAACAAAGTTCGATTTTGATCCAACTATTGATAGACCGACAATAAATTTGAGAAATGACTTCAATTTGTTAAGCACACATGGTACACAGAAAAATTTCAGTGCATCATCATCTTTGATTCCAAGTCATTCTTACGTTGCTAGATTCGAGTTTGACTTGAACATGCCACCAATGCAACAATCCACGTTTAATTCATTCGATGATTTCTCATCTGGACGATATTCAACGTATATCCTACTGCGGATTATGTCTTAACACATATGGGGAGACATTATGTGTATGACGTTGATCTTAGGGAACCAATTCATGAGTGATGTTGTGATCAATGAACACCTACATCAACGGATAACTTTGATTTAAATGAGGTTGAACTATTCCTCTTTGAGGGGGATCATTCTGACGAATAACCAATAAGGGAGCCTGACCCCGATGGTTATGAGTTAGGCCCTTTCTATGAAAAATCAGAAGAGTTTGATATACCACCAGAAGCAGAAGATAACGAAGAATACGGTACGGCTACAACGATTCCATATACTGCAACACATATTTCTTATTACCAGTCACTATCGCTCTTTACAACAATAGATATGGAAGTATTCGACCCTTCGAAATTTTCCCAATTCTTACACATTTAACAATGCAATCAATGTAGTGATGGTGATCTCTATGTTAGAAAAGCTTTCAGTTAATATAATGTTTATTTTATTAT